TTCAAGTGAACTAATTTTAAAATTGTGCATCTTCAGCTAACAAATGCTTCATTTTCCACTAATCTTTCTGATACTGAATTAAAATAAGCCACAATTAATATTCAAAATTGTTGATTATAAACAACTTGGGCTTCATGTTTTCAAACGTTGCATGTTTCAAATCCTACAGTGGTATGCAGAGGCATAATAAAAAAAGTCTTCAGAATTGATAACAGTCTCAAAAATGCATAAGAAATCCCCAGCTGTGTAATCAAGGAGCATCATTATGTCCTTCCAAAAGGAGAGGTGTGTGGAGGGAAGCCACATATACAAGCAGTTTAAATCTTTATGGTAATTTTGCTGCAGTGTAAAGTATACTACCTTAAAAAATGAGTCACAAGTACCCTTTTCAGCACTATTTGACAGAGAAAAAGCAGTTATTGCATTTATAATCTAACAAATATCTGACTTCTGTACAACTTGAGGATTTTTCGAAGTTATCTAAAGAATGCTATTTGATCTAAAGTGTTGATTTTTTTTAGGTCTCGGATGTAGCTTGACCATAGTACCGAACTAAAAAGTTAACGAAAATCAACAGTGCAAAACATTTTTTCAATCCCACCACGTATCAAAAAAATCATGTATAGTTGACACATATAGTTTCTGACCTACTAAAAAAAACCTCACAGAAAAGCAGTATCTAATGTTTCCACATGGGCTCAATGTGGGTCGCACCCAGGCAGGAAGATATCCTTAGGGGTCTTGCACAGCCACATCTTGTACATGTGTAGTTACTGATTTTGCAAGCTATGTGATCACATGCATACTGAGGGCTCAATTCTGCTGTCTTTACCCACGTCAACCTACAATGGAATTAACAGAGGCCAAGAACTGCAAGAGCAGGTGAAATTTGTAATAGAACTGTATTCCTCATCAGAAGTATATATACCTGATAAACATTAAAAGAAAAAGCAGCATCTTGTCAGCTTGTGTTCCTCATTTTCTCTTGCGTTTAGTAGTACATAAACAAATCACCAATTTCTTCAGAGTCCATCTGTATCATCTGTACACTTTACACATAACTTAAAAAAAAACCCTCAAAGCAGAAAGATGGGTGGATTACAACAAATATCTTCTTTCAACTCCATTCCAGTAACGTTTCTTTTTTATTTTAATATATCACACAATATGAAGGGTCTGACAGAAAAAGCAGTGTACTGAGAAAATAAGATTGGAAATCACTTCCTAGGTCTTATCTCCTGTGCTTTAGGTGACCTCACGGAGGTCAAGGGAACAATTAGGCCAGATCCAAAGTCATTGAAGACAATGGAAGTACTTGCACTGGCTTCAATGGGTTTTGGATTGTGCCTTTTTTGCATCAGTAGAGCTAGCTAAATCTGGCCCAATACTGTCCTATTGGTTCTAGATTTTGCAGGGGTCTCTCAAGAGTTGATTTGACTGCATTCTTGGCATATTCAAAACTTTTATGGACTTTACTAGGAATTCTGAGTATGCAAGTACTGCAGCACAAGGTACTCGAGTGTCATACTAGGCACTAGTGAGTGGGTGACAGACTAAACATTTGGTAGAACACTTATTTTAGAGTTTCGTGTCTGCTTGAATCTTATCTTAGAAATGTTTTGTGCATCTAAGTTTCCTTTTCTAACGTTAGTTTAAAATATTACTCATGCTTTATAAGAAAGAGTATGTGTATAGTTTATAAGAGTTAAAAAGGTTTACTAGGTAGTTTTATATGTGGTTAATACTTGGAGCCAAATAGAGCAATAGCTTCTTTATAACTGTGGCTCACAGCCACCTATAATTACTTATAATGAAGCCATTTGTTTGATAGTTGTTTTTTGTTGTTTTGTTTTGGTTTTTTGAGGGAGAAGAGGAAAGGGTAGGACACCAAGGAGGAAGAATGAGGATGTATGTGCACGCTCTTGGGTATAATTTCAGAAGGGCCTTTTCTAGACATTTTTCGTTTAAATTGATGTCTGCCACCTGAGTGAAATTGTTAAATAAATTGCTATTGGGGGGCTTCATTTATTTATTTGCAATTTTGTTAGCAGGTAATAATTCTAAGTTTAATTATTGGCAGAGAACTCAGAGCTTTGAATATGTGTTTTTAATATCACACTTCAACATAATAAATAAATGAAAAATATTGATGTATCTATAATGCATATTGCTCATATCTAGGATATCGATTAAGCATAGATTAACCCTTTAAGAAACCTATTTATAGGATGTAGCTATCCTCTGTACTGAGATCCAAAACTTTTGTCTCAGAGATGCATAATGGAGCTATGAAGTAAATCACAAAAGCCCTCATTTCCTTGAAAAAAAAGTAATTCTCAACTTGTAATTACATATCCAGCAGAGTAATGACTCTAGAAGAAAAGTTACAGGCATCATGTAAGAAACTTATTCACCTTTTAAAGGGAAATTCTCTAATCTAATACCACATGGTAGATCTGGAAATCCTTTACAGTCTACCTGATAAAAAGAAAACAGTTGGCACATGGAACTTGTACTGCATTGAACAGGAAAAAATCCATTTGAATGGTTTTGAAAAAGTTGTTACCATATATGCTTGGAAGCCATTTTTGAAACTTCGAAGTCCATGCCATTTTAATTAACAATTTTAAAAACAACAAAAACAAATCACACACATGGATTATTTACCTGCTTAAGTCTTGCTTTCAAAGCTGCTTCTGCATTCCAAAAACATAAAAACCTCCAAACCATTAATAACTAGTAAACATTTTTTTGCATATGTGTAAACAAACAAACAAACAGCCAAAACTGTTTTTGGCTAGAAATCTTAGGTAACTAGTTTGAAATGAAATTTCTCAGCTATGTTTAAGACACCTGAAAATATGTATGAGTTTAAACTAAACAATACTGCTAACACTAATTAAAGCAATGCTTTGCTTTTAAAGATAAGACAATGTGCTTTTTCAGGTCAAAAAAAATGTCACCCATCTATGAAGCACATTTTGATTATGAATCTTTTTCCTTTGATAGATCAGTTGCTTCACAAAATCCCTCACAAGACAGCAATCCAGGAAAAACCAAGGTTACAAAGTTCACATTTTAAAGATTGTCAGTATTATAGACCAAATGTTGATAGAACAAAGGATAATTGATAGATCACTTCTGTTACTATCTGAAACCATAGGACTGCAACAACACTGGATAGAAATCTTGACAGTGTTACAAGATCAGCAACTTTGCTTCTGTAAGAACAATGGAGTGCTTTCCCTCAAAGGATGGTAGAATCAGTCAGCAAGTCCTAAAGAATTAAATCACAGAAGGGAACATATGTTTATACTTCCAGGTGACACACAGGGTAACCATTTAACTGCATACTTCTGCCATCTTTCACTATATTTCATGCTTGGTGATAAAGTAAACTATTTTTATGATTAAAATAAGAAGAAGAAGAAGAAAAATGGCTTTAGCAAGCCCAGAAAACCTGATTTGGGCTTGGCAAAGCCAGCCTTTTTTATTCCATCTTTACTGAAAAAACAAAATTCAACAAAGAGCAAAGTGAATCCAGGAGGATCTTGCAAGCTATATACTTAATTTATAAATAATACAGGTTTAGGTTTTGCTTTCTTTTGAACACAGCAGCTAAACTTGCAGACTCATTATTTTTTCTTGGCTAGCTTTGTTTTTTTGAAGGAGAAATTTCCAGCCTGGATACATTACATTTACCATGGCAGAAGGGAGAACGGTTTAGAAATTTAAAACTGCACTATTGAGAACCATGTTAACATATGAGATTTTCACAAGGGGGATGAAGGTTACTTTTGTTTCCAGTATGTTTTCTTAATTGTTTTTTGTGTAGTTAGCCTTAAAATTCAACTGAATTTAAGTTAAATGTGTAGGTAAGATTCATCAAAATAAAAGAGGTTCAAAATTCAACAGAAACAGGGCACCTAAAAATGACCAAGTCACAAATCAAATGACTGAGCACCTACAAATGACTTTCATCTTGCATAGACAGAATGATTATTCATAACTTCCAAAGAGGAGTGGCTTCAGAAATCAAATAATTAATACCTTTAATTAACCTCATTCCAACAAAATGCATCTGTTTTAAATTTTGCACAATTTTCAAAATTTCTTTTTAAACACTGCAGGTTCATAAAGTCCTTGGAAAGATTTGGTTTATCCCTTTCACTGATAAAGTTAATGAAGTCAGACACCTGAATATGTTTCACTTTTCTATTAGGTTAGGGAGTAGTAAGTGGTGGTTTTCTTTTACATAAAAACCTTCAGGGCAGGGGTCCACACCCACAGAAAGGCCTGCAAACCTGTATGCTCACATAGTCCTACATTAAAGGCTGCACTTTGACCCAGTAGCCAGAGTTGATAATCCATCTGCAGAATGAGGGCTATTGCTTATTCATTCAGAAAGTTTTATACCATGATAACTCAGAAAAAATGACTTTTTAAAAGGTCTATTTTTTTTAGAAGGTGGGTTTCTTGAAAAAGTTTTAACTGAGTTAATTTACTTTGAGGTTACAAATAGGATTTCTACAGTTTTCAAATATTTTCAAAATATTCACAATTGCATGCTGGCTGCTTTTAAGCACATGACTTTTAAAACTAGATTGTCTTTTTATTACAGCATGACTATGACTCTCATTCAAGAAGAAGTTAAATAGATGTTTATGTGCTAAGCCCCTGCATTGCTCAAGTACCCTTCCTAAACAGCTGTGCTTTCGTGAATTCTTTTCCTGTTTAAAAATGGGGAAAAAAAAATATCTCACCACTTTCTTTTACTCATGGAAAGAACAAAAGTCCTTTCATGGACTCAGTCCTCAGTCTATTCAAATTAACTGCAAACTTCAAAATGATTTCAATGGGAAAAGGTTTAAATTCTCATTTTAAAGCAGTACCTTTGATTATTATAACTAAAACAACTATGAATGTAATTTGTTTCATTCTGATGTCTACTTTTGACAATTCGTTTGGATTTTGTAATAAAAACTGATTAGTCCATTTTCTTTCTCTATGATAACTTTCTAATCAAGTTCACATTCCACTGAACGTTATCTGTCATTATTCCACAAGAATAAACACTATATTGGAATGAAGAAAAAAATCCATGAAAAATAATGTAACTGTGTAAGTCTTTGTTAAAACCTTCCTCTCATGAAATCAAAGAGGACATCATCCACTTGAAATCTAGTTACTTTCAACTAGTGAGTCCCCTTCTCTATGAACCCCTTGCCAATGTTTTGTAATAAACAATTATATCCTCTCTTTCTCCCTCCCCTTCTCCCTCTCTCTCTTTCGAGGGCTTGATTCTGCCAGTCTTATTCACATTTGCTTATCTGCATAAGTGTTTGCAGCACTGGAGGGTTAACGTGCTATTAAATGTGAGCAAGGGTTGCTGAATCAAGCCCTAAAATGTTGACCCATTTACCTATTGTTGTGTGGGAAACCCACACAAATCAAATGGAAAAAATGACTATGCAGTGGAAACAATGAAAATACAAAGTGCTGACAGAAGCACAAAGCAGATGGAGTAAAGAAAGAAGAACTATTTTCTTTCATTGTCTCAGTTTTAGTCATTCAGGTGCCCTTTGTAACAATCATAGGCAGAACCTTTTTAGAGAAGTCTGACTTAAAGTTGATTATGCCTTTTAAATTTGATCTTAGATCAGTTATGTTATATCACAGTTTTCATAATTTAGTTTTTCATGATACATTTTTAGCATTTTCTTTAAATTTCAGAGTCCCTTGTCACTGCAGCTGGGGCAACAAGCCAAATTCATCATAAGTGGAAGTGAGTACTGCTACAGGAAAGTCATTTGCTTATGCCAATGCTGAGTAAAGTCTGATGCCAATTCAAAAATTGGAAAAATGTGTTTTCGTCTATGTACTCACAACAATTTTTGGCATCTCCTTTTCAGGTCTCTGTGCACACTGCCTATAAACTGACCAGTAAGACAGCACTTAAGGCCCTGATTCAACAATGCATTTACGTGTGTGCTTAAAGTTAAGCTGAAGCACATACCTGAATGTGAGGTGAAACAGGAATGGCTTTAGGCAGGTGATTAAAGTTATGCACTTAAGTCCTTTGCTCAGTCAGACCCTATGATTCAAAGCTAGCACTTTTCCTTACAGTCCTGTTGGAGATAAAGCTAGCCACCTTCTAATTCAGAAAACAGCTTTCTGGCTTTGCTACAAAACCCAGGTACAATAAATGCACTTATAGAAGAGCATTTCTATCATGCCACAAGACTCCCATGATCTCTTGTTATTTGTATTTAAAAATGGGCAATACAAACTTCCAACATCAAGTGTCAGTAGGTATGTATGAATAATCATACACAAACTCCAAGTCTGTGAATAAACTGAAATTAACCATTATCACAAATACATCTGTTTTCATCACTGGTTCTAATAAATTTGACAATGACAGGGAAGGTTTTTATAACTTAAGAAGCCTGTTTTATATTCTTGTTGTTACCTTCAAATTTGAAGAGACCTTATATAACCTATAAATTATATATTTTTTCTTTTGTATACAGGGTAAAATGCTTTTCAAATGCAATGACATAGCAGAGGTGGAAAACAATCAGTCACTGCATAAGTCAACATTTCATGTTTCAAAATCAGAGTGAAAAACTGTAAACTGTTAAACTTCTCTAATGACTACTTGACATATTGTGGGTATTTGTACTTACTTACCTGAATATCTATTTAGCAAATATCCTCAGATACAAGTTTAGATACAGAGTTAAATGTAATTTGAGCATTAGTTTACACATAATATAAATCAGAGTTTGACTATATCAAAATCCCATCAAACAGTGGGCCCTTTTTATGCTATTATCAAATATACTATACCACTGTGGGATAGCAGAGAACCATAGAACACTAGCATTATGTATGTTTATTAAATTTGGTCAGTTTTCAGAACCTTCCAAATAGGAATACTGAACTTTTATTTTACCCCTCTGGAAATTTCTCTCATGCTCAATACAGTCATCATCCCAATTCTTAATGAATTTATAAAAATATTTTTTTTTATCCAATAATCCCGATAAGGTAAAAATAGGAGTTTTTATAGCAAATGATAAACAGGCTTACTGACTATGAGAGAAACTAAACTTATTTAAATCGCCATACATTCGCTATTGAATCACACATCTCCATTTTCTTTGCGTTCGTGTGTGCGTGTGTTGTTGCCCACCTCAGACTGGCAGTTTTTAAGGTGCAGAAGCATCTTTCAAATATATGTGTCTAACTCAATGACCAAGTTCCACACACTAGTGTCACATGCTTTAAAATTTACATCATTAGCCCACCAAGAGCTGTATTAAGCAACAACATTAATCGAAACCGCATAATTCTTTAAAAATTGCAGCACTTCCAATTAAGAGAAGAAAGGGGTGTTTATGTGGTTCATTACTTTACTAGATTTCATTTTTTGAAATAAAAAGCCAAAAGAAATGGGGGGGAAAAAAACAAAACAAAACAAAACACACATTTGAAAGAAGTCGCTGCACCTGCAAAAACACTCTTTCAGCTTACTATGAAATACAAAAAAGTGCACCCTTCTATATCTACATATAAAACATATTAGAAATAAAACTTGTGTAAAATGTTTGCTGTGCAAACTAGAAAAACAGTCAGTCAGTCCATTCTTTTTCCTAAATATTCTGTCACATTCTCTTGCTTCCTACTGCAGAGAATCGCTATTATCCAAGACCAGCCCACTGATGTTTGTTGTTGAGAGGTCTGTTCCATCATCTTCACCGCTGTCCACAGATTCATCCTCGCTTTGCCCTGCCATCATAACTTGCTGAACAGCCAAAGTAGCACCATCAGATGACAGGGACTGAAGACTGTCTACATTCATGTTGACGGGACCTGTAATTGTTACAACTGCTCCTAGAGACAAAACAAACAAACAAACAAACAAACAAACAATTAGCATAATAAGAACAAGGCTAAAATAATAGTTTAGGGTTAATGGTTATGCATAACAGAATTCATTTTTCCTTTAAAATAGAAGGCACAGGAAATTACAGTTGTAAAATTAAGTACTCAAAAGTCAGGAAATGCCAGAATAAAGGTTGCCCTAGAACCTTAATTCATCCCCATTGTGCTTCTTCAATTACGTTATCATGTAATACTTTTTCCACAGAATCCCAACCTTATTAATTGTGCAGGAAGGAAGGTGCTAAGGAAATAATTCAGGATTATCTAAATGGATTAATTTGTTCTCTTGATTAATCCCTGTCTTTCCTACCTCCCACTAAAGTCAGCAGAAAAAGTGCTATTGACGTCAACGGGTGTTAGGTCAAGCCCTTGAAGAATCAGCAATTATGCAGTAAGTGAAACAACTGACTGTAGAAAGAGAAAGGACTGCCTTATGGTTAAAGTGCTGTAAGGAAAAATGGATCTATTTCCTTCTTGGCCACAGAGTTTCTGTACTGACCATTTAACCGAAAAATTCACAGGTTCTAGTATTTTTTCAGTACCCACCCTAAATCACTTGCAGCTTGATTTGCAGAACCACGGATGCTTAGCACCTCAGGAAATACTGCAGGAATGAGTAGATGGTCAGGGAATCAGGAAGCCTTGAGTTACAGTTCTAGTTCTGCCACTCTGGGGAATACAGTGTGCGATCAAAGTAACAAAACACTATTGTAATGCACGTCGGAAAAATCAGAGTTGCATAGACAATTTTGATTCTAGCATTTCCTAACTTTTCAGTTATTTACTTTGAAAATCCCGAACAAAATTTTTAGCATTTTTTTCTATACATTTCATCCCCCCAAACAAAAAGAAAACAACCAGAAATAACCCCCTCAAGCATTTAGAAATACTTCTGTTCATTTTTTCCATACTGTAAGGCATAGCAATTCAGCTACTTCAGGAAATCTAAAATATAACAAAGCCACTTCAGTTCTATGTAATTAAGGCATTTTATCCAGAATTAGCTTTTCTATTTAAGTTTGGGCCAATATTCCTTACCATCTGACATTGTAAGTTCATTAGACTGCTGCTGAGCAACTCCTGAGGCAATGGAATCAGGCCAGAACCTCTGAACTGGTCTGTTTTGAGCTGTTTTTTTCTTTGTTTTTGGAGTTTCCGAACAACTGGAATCCAGCATTGGCTGAAGAATTCGCCTTCTAGCGTTGATAAACCTAAAAAAACAAAAGTAATAAATAAATAAAATCACATTTTGCCAAAAGATTCCAAGTGGGCAATGAAATGTCACACCCAGCTTTAAGCCCTCTTAATTAAGAGTGGAATGGTAAAAAAGAAAAAATAAAGAGAAAAATATAAGATTCAAAATGTCATTGTTCCTTAATACCCTGGTCTGACACTCCATTATAGGGGTGTACCAGAACTTCTTTAACTGCTAAACTAGAACACCAAACCCTTTGATTTTGCTAAGTAAACTTAGGAAGCACCCTTCTGCTTTTCTCTTGCTGGCAGCTGAACTCTCCTCCCTCCTCTTTAGTACTGGCTAATACAGTGGTCTCCAAACTTTTTTGATCGTGCACCCCTATCAGTTAAAAATTTTTGAGCATGCACCCCCAATGTATGTATATTTATATAAATATAACTATAAATAGAAGTTCTAATATTTTCTTCCCACACCCCAATGGATCGTCCTGCGCATCCCCTGGGGTGCGCACACCCCACTTTGGAGACCACTGGGCTAATACACTGCTTCTTCTGGCCACTAGGAAAGGTGCATATTCCAAGATCTGCCCACTGGAATATAGTTAAGTTACCACAGCATGCCCTAAACAAGTAATTAGGGCGTCTCCAGCCATGGTTCCTACTTGGGTCTTCTGCTTTACTTTCCTACTCAGTGGGTCTAAAGTGATCTTCCAAAACCCCATGGAACTGATGGGCTCACAAAGCCTCCAATGTTCGGCTCTTGAGCCTCCCACGTTTGGCTCTTGAGCCAATCAACCCACTCACTTGTTACGAGTCCCTACACCAAATAGATTCTCCAGCCCTTTCCCAAGTCCATAGCTCTCTCTGTTCCCCTCCTGTTTTCTTCAGCCTTCCACTTTCCGTCCAAGAATCCTTCCCATTTTTCTACCAAGTCTGATCAGTCATCAGTGATTAATCTCACTGTAGCTGGCATGACAGCAATAAGGAATAAGTGTCTCATTCCTGAGCACAGGTGTTAAGAGTAAAGATCACAATGTTCTATTGCCAGATATGCCAAAGACTTTTAGACACATCATTAAACTTATCTAATCTTAGTTTCCTTGACTTACAAAACAGTCATAAAACTTATTTCCATACCTCTCAGGAGTGACAGGAAGTGAAACTGGCTGGCCACCCTGGACCAAAGAGTGGCACATGTACCAGAAGTAGCAGAGAAAGTCAGTGTGTTTGGCATGTGGCAGACTGGGGAGCAGGTGGGAAGTAGAGTGGCAGGTTGGCCAGTGGGGAGAGTGACAGATCAGGTAGGGGACAGGGATCAGTGGCAGAATAGGGAGAGGACAGGGCTGAACTTGTGGCATGCTGACTAAATTTGTGGCACATCTGACAAAAAGAATGGCCACCACTGCTGTCAAGATGCAAAGTGCTATTACAATTAAAACTACCCAAAGTAAGTTTAGTTAAGAACTTACTTAACTAAACTCAGACTCAACTCAGATTCTTTTTCAGAGTCATCCCTCAATAATAAATATTATGTCAAAGGTCTGGTTCTTACCAATTGTTAACCTGGAGTAGTGTCAGATTTGTCTGTGCTGCAATCTGTTTTTTTTCATCTTCTGTTGGATATGGATGCTACGAACAGGAAAAGAAATGTAAATCTTTCTTCTTTGCTTCTTTCTTTCATTAGAAGTAAAAATAAATTATTTTTGCTCCATCATTTCCAATTAAAAAACTACTAGACTCTAAAAACCATGCAATTCATTAAGCCACACACTTTTCCTGATAACATAATTTAATAAAGCTTTACAAAACACAACTGATTATACCCTTATAAAGTGCATATGCTACCATTTAATTGGCCATGCCAAATTCAGGAAAATAATGCTTCTCAAGGCTGCCAGAGTCCTTGTTAGACATCGTGATCCTTGGACAATACATGTGATAAGATCTGATTAGTTACACTGTCTAGAGGCAGCATCATATGAGAGTGCTGACAAGCTGTCTGTGGTTAAATAAAACTACTATGAATTAAACAGTGTAAGGGAAGTGTATAACGTAAGAAATGCATGTGTGATTTTCTTGTATTATTTATCTGTTCAAAAATTAAATAAATCAGAAAATATTCCATGAATTTCTAATGGTATAACTACCACAGCAACCACCACCACTTATTTTTCCTTTCCAGTTCATATACGATATCCTTGTGTGACCATGAGCAGGTGGCATGTATAGACTCCTGGAAGGTTTGATGGAATGGAAATAAATAAAAGCATACAATATACAATTTCCCTCTACATAGAATTTATGCATAACTGTTCCTCATTGGGCCATGGACTAGGGAAACATGACAGTAAATCTTTAGCTCACTAAAATAAAGGGGAACTCCACCAACGCCCCCTCAAACTTCTAGTAAGACCATCAAGTTCAAATATTAAATCTCTCCAGGATTAGGTTCTGATCCAATACACAACAGATTCTATGGAACATCTCCAACTGATTTCAATGGAAGTGGAATTAGGATCATATAATGCATGATAAAATATGTTTGCCCTCTTGATGATGCAAATCAAAACAGACATCAAGAGACTTTGTCAAAACTTTTAACTGTTGATCATGCTTAATCCTTACCCCAATGTGCTGAAAAAGCCATGATCTCATCACATTTGTAGCATGCTTTGGAAGAACCCCTCTTTTGTTTTTTGATGAGCCATCATCTTGATGCAAGATGTTTAGATCTTGGTTTAACTGAAACTGAAGCTACATAAATAATTTAGAAGAAATAGAGGCAATTAAAAGGTAGGAACTTACTATATTAATAAAGATATTTCACAAAAATGTTTTTATGTGAAAAAACATATAACTTACAGAAGGAACGAAAAAGTTAGCTTTATAATCAGTGTCAAAAATGGTACTTCATTTACCTGTAGAGGTCGTGCTGGTAGTTCTCTTGCAGTATTATCCTAAAGAGATCCATATGCTGGGTTAGGGGGAATCAGGTTTCTATAATTTTAGCATTTTCTAAACCCCCTCTCTAAGAACTATAGTAATTATTGTGAAGACATACATAGCAAATCACAGCTACCAATTGCCCCCTTTTTTCTTCATTTAGGATAAAAATCATCCTAACAAGTGGGACCAAGAACATAGTCTTTTACAAGCAGCACACCAAGGATCTGATTCTCAGTTGGTAGTCACCTTGTGCATCAATTAATACATCATGGACACCAAATGCAAAATGCTATGCTGCTTTATTTTATAAGCACTGTGCACAGAAGAAACTAAGTGTGGGAGCCAGAGGGGAAGAATCATGTTCTACAGGGATTTAGTCACTTAAAAGACTTATGGCGGATTCAGCTAGGCAGACTGTACAAGTTGCAGTCTAAACGTGTGGTCCAAACCACTCCCACTGAGCAATGATCTAGCTCTGGGAGCATCAAAAACTAAATAAGCACCTCCCAATTCAGCATGAAAGTTCCCTGGGCACCCGCAATTCTGTTTTGGGTATATCCAGAATGTCCCAATCTTGGTACCTAGCTCCATGCTAAACCCTGTTGGGGGCCAGAAACTGTGCACATCAGACCCCTGCAGACCCTAATACAATAGGCACCTTCTGAGTATGCTAAACATACACTAAATTGGACCCATCACAAAATGCATTAGCAACAGCCCATTTTCTAAAATGTGACCAGTATTAAGGGCATCTGCCTTTTATATAATATTAGCCAGACCACTAATCCAGGAAGTGGGAAATGTTACAGGTCCTCCTCTACCCAGAGGTGTAGAAACCTAAAACTCACATCTTCTAGAGGAGTGCCCTAACAATGTGTCTAGATGCTAGGCTCCAAATGGGGCATTCTCCTCCCTCCTCTTGAAGCTAAGACATTGGACATAAAGAAATGCAAACTGCATGGGAACAAGAAGAGAAAGTGGGAAAAGGGAGCATGAATGTATAGCCTCATGGTTAAGCAGTCCCTTGGGAGGCTGGGATGCCAGGTACCAAGCCTCTGCTTCTAGCAGAGTTACTACATTTTACATTGATATACCTAGATGTTTCCCCATTAAAGAAGTGCATTGATGGACACTGGAAAGGATACTCTTCAACATTTAAACCAAGCTAGTAGGAAAAAATATATAGCTTGTATTTGACAACCATGGTATAACTTTCTAAATACACTGTTTTTAAACAGGGTCCTTGTTTATCTTCAAGAAACGAAGCAGGAGAGATGCAAATCTATTTTAAAAAGGTCTTTTTTGAGCTAAGTGTCAAATATCAAATGATATTTCCCCTCACCTCCAAATGTACATTCAGAAGTAATAACAAATATATTTTTTCTTTTTTTAAGTTCCAAGCAATTCTGTACAGAGGATTACTAGTGATAGTTTCAACATGCATCCAGAAAAGAATTCTTTTTTTCTCAGAAAGCAGTGAAATACTGAAAGTAGGAATTTCAAAAGATTTATCTGATGCCTCACAAGTAAAATTGGAATGAAGTCCCAAACTCTACCTATGGATGAAGTAGACTACTATAGCGGAACTCAAAAAAGGCTCATGCATGTAAGCAAAGAATTGTATCCTAGGTATATTTCCTACTGTTTTCACATGTTTTCTCTCAGAAGTGTGAGAATTTTCCCTCCAAAGATTCCAGTCTCCCAGAAATCAGATTTTTCCAAAGGATAAGGAGATGCTAAGGTAGACTAATTTGCTAAACATTTGAATGGGAAAATTCATATGCACACTATTAAGTTCAAAGTTTAAGGTTCCAGTCTATGAAACTAATTTTATCTTTCATAGGTATGCACATCCAATTCTTATTAATTTAGAAATGTGCATTTCTGCCAGCAGAACTTGGCCAGGTATATACTATTATAAACATCAGAGGACAAGTCTAGTTTAAACATACTTTAATAATGTAATAAGTCAGTAATAATCATTCAACCTTACACTGTAAAAACCAATCTTCCTGTTGACATGTTTAGTAAATTAATCCACCCTTAATTCTCCTCCCACCTTGGAAGATTTGATTTATACAACTTTCTGATTCATGTACCACTATCCTGATATTATGTTGACTCGGATCATCTACATCTTATCATGATACCCTTTCCTGTAATGCAAGTGCCACAGCACTGCCCTATTATAAACTTTAAGTGGCTTCCCAGTAAGGACAGGCTTACTTTTATCTTTTTAATTCAATACAACACACACTACATGGTCATCACCCATTTAGTTCAGCACAGTGTTCTGAAGGTTGAATAGCTGAATAGTGAAACACCTCCCAACATGTATAAATTCTAAAACGCATAAAACAGAATTCTAAATTTCCAGTGGTAGCTGCCTTTTTGGTAAAAACTGAGATTTCTGATACCAGTAATATTGTATCATAATGTAAAAGCATCAGGACATCCTACTATAAATCTATTTCAACAGCTAGAAAAAAAATGGTAATTAAAAAATGCTTAACGTTTAGTTAGTAGACTTGCTTTTCTTCTATACAAGTACTCTACCATCACCAGAAAGACACTGATAGTCAGGGCCCACAGTGCTTTTATTATATCAAGGGAGATTTTTGCAGATCTTTGGGATTCTGTGCCTGGCAACAAAAGGCAAGAATCTTTGCATCAGCATTTACTTTAATTGCAAAAAACTGCTAATTTTATGCAAGGTTCCTGCTGGCAATTTATCACTCTTAATATTTTACTATTAAAAACTTTTTTTAATCTACAAAACTTTATTGAAGACCCTGAAACAAACCTGGGAATTCTGGATCCGAATTGTCCCAGGTGACAGTGCTTGTGTCACTACTTGACCTTGTGGAGTAACCACTGTGACTGGCTGATACACTGTGCCCCCTTTGAAAAAAGAAAATTCTGATCAGACTTTGTCTATATTCATATCCATATAGCAGACAAAACATCAAGCACATGCATTTCAGTACTGAGATTGCTTAAGTGAATAAGATCGTTGTGGTCTTTGTAGAATACAATTCATTATAAAAAATTATTCTGTTATCATATCTGCTTTCAAGATGGACAAAGGCACTGCAAATAAATACTTTATTGCTGATAAGTGATGAATACCTTGCCGGGGTCGTTTGACCCCAGTACTCTTTCCTGCCATGGCAGGGGGTTGGACTCGATGATCTATATACTCAGGTCCCTTCTGACCCTACCAACTATGAAACCATGAAGTGGAAGTGCATTATCTAAATAGCTGATATTAAGCCTGTTATTTTATTACAACTTTTCCATTAAATAGAACTCTTCAATATTTTAAAGCTTTTTACCATTTATGAAATCTGTATCAAATATGGCTCCATTTTGCCACATTTTCAAAATGCCAGACCAGCCGCTCCTACTCCATCTAGCTTAGGTACAAGAACCAATATGCCAGTGCAGCCATGTCAGCTCGGCATTAATTAGCCACTGAGCATCTGGGTAAATTGGCAGAGGTGGAGTGTTGCACTAGCGCAAGCTATTTTCCTTCCAGTATCTGAGCAAGCTCATTCAGGTATATGGTAAGCTAGTTTGTGAAAAGATAAATGTAGTCAAACTTAAATGCAATCACTCTGCCTGCCGCCTGACCACAGCAGCACATGTGGGAGTTTTCAAAGTTTTGTTGACTGGCTTCCAGGTGCGGTTACCAAGCTATATAATGCAATGAAAGAGTCATTTATTGCAGCATTCATTTTGACTAAGACTTTTGTTTGCCTAACAATATTTTGAAAAATATAGAAAATGTGGTATTCTTGAAAATGCATAAGTTAAATAACTTTGTTTTTGGGGTTTGTTTTGTTTTTTTTTAAGACATTGCACTGAAATCTCTCTCAAGTAGATGCTGTATGTAAGAAAATGGCTATGTACAGACCTTAATTCCTACTGGAAGAAGGGGGAAGCTGGCAGAAGCCTGCAAATTGCCCTGCCTCTTCCCAAAACCAGGAACAACCTGGTTTGAAGAAGAAGCAGGGAGCCTCTCCATACCAGAAGAATAGCGATTCTCCTGGGCAAAACTGAATGTGTGTACCTGGCCTGTGTGTATGCTACTTGACCAAGCAAAAACCATCAACTAGCATACAAAACCAGCATGCAGAAGCTGACATGGTATTTCAGTGTGAAGCTCTTGTCAAACAGTTTTAATAAAACGGTCCCATCTTGGTGAATTTTTCTTAGCAGTTGAAAAAGAAACTAAAATAAAGAGCAATGGGTTAGATTTTCTTGACTGTGTCATACCTGCTACAGTTGCCATAGTTACATTTCCCTGCTGCAATGCTGATGCAGGCACCATAATCCCTTGGGGACTGAGTGTGCCGGCAATGGCACTTGGAATTTGCTAGAAAAATAAAATAGTTAGTTTCTTTAAAAACAAAAAGTATGTTCTGTAATTTTAGTCTCAATGAATTTGGGGCAAAAAAAAAAGGCTCTCGAAGAAATAGACACTATCAGTAGAGGCCATTTTCAAAAACTGATCTGGTTGAAAACATTAGTCATGAAATAATTAAAGTAGCAGCAAAATATCCGGAGAAATTTGTGGAAAATTTTGGATATATCAATACTAAAAGTGAACTGTTTCCAAAGACATGGGAAATAAAGAATGGTAGGTAAAATTACAAGTTATTAAGAAACAACTTAATTTCTTCTGAAGTTTTCTGACTAAAGTAACGTAGTAGGTACACACAATTTCTAAATGTTATTTTAAGCATATCTAAACTCAACATTATAGTTATGTAATTTAAATCATACTGCTAGGCGCTGATTCTAGCCTTTTGCGAATCTTAATTAAGCATGTGAATAACTGCATTGATTTTAAAGTAAATTTTATGCTCTTTGAACTACTTAGAATGCAGAAAGTTAAAGATGTACGCTGATTCTGGAATAACTTGCATATAAGACTATATGACTACTAGATACTGGGGCATCATAGTTTACAAGAAAGAATAGCAAATGTACCAGAAGAGTAATCCAGGCAGTAATGATTGCTTTATTACTTTATAAAATATTGTAATGAGATACTTCAGCAACACAGCAAATGCTGGGCACATGTACATTAATATATGCTATTCCTGATTTTACAAAGTGGACACAGATGATAAACACTAGGGGTAGGCACACATCTGAAAAATTATGACTAGAAACCAACACACAGCCTTGTCTACTCAGTTTGGAACATTCAGACTAATTTACATGGTCAGTTGACATATCTACATTGCCATGCTATCCCGACACTTTTAAATGAGGCAGACAAAGCAAAGGAGACATTGCCAAAAAGATACAATGCATATTATGATAACTTTTCCCTTTGTTTGTTCCTACATCTCCTTCCATCAGGACAGAAAATCCAAGCTATTATGTTATGTTTTCAGTTTCTAGACTGAGACAAGTAGTAAAGAAAATATTCAAATAATTACTGTTTTTTTTCAAGTGTCAGCAGATTTCAATAAACTTGCCCACTCTGCAGCAGTACAAAAGAAGATTGCTAATTTTAACAACAGAATTGTAAAGAATCAAGTAAACTGTGAAAAATTCTACTTGAACACTAAGTGCAAGAACAGTGTATTTGTAAATTTCCTAGAGGCAAGGATTTTTTGGGGTGACATCTTTTATGCTACTAAACTAAGAAAAAAAACACTAAAAAGATATCTCCTAAGAAATCCTTGCCTCACACAGTTCCAGGAGCCACTATGGCTATAATACTATTCTAACACAACCATAAATTTCCAAGGAAATTTAAGCAAATTTAAACTAGTTTGAAATGTACCTGGGACTGGACAGGGGAATAAGGACTTCCAGGTTCTCCACTTAGTAGAGTTTCACTGTTCATTTTAGTTTTCAGACAGGCAATGTAACGACTACAGAAATCCTTGCAGAGTTCATTAACCTTTTCTAGCTCTAGCAGATGAATACGTAGAACCTGGATTGCCTTTACCATCTAGAGAGAAAAAGACAGGAAAAACTCAGAAATAAGGCAAAAAGACAGTATTACTTGCAAGTATAAAATTCATCTGGCTGAACAAATGTTTTTTCCCCTATTACTAGCAGATATAACTACTGACAGAAGAATTCTGGCCACAATACTCTAGCAATAACTAGAGTATTGTGTATTAGTCACTATAGTATCCGTCTTGTCTTCATTGTAATCCATAATACTACTGTCCTATTACAACAGGGTTAGGGCAAATGTGGTAAATTGCAGTACTCTGAGCTACAGTCAGAAGACTCAGGTTCCACTCTTTAGTTGCACTACTGCCACTGCTGGAGTCAGGAGAAATAGAACTGCTATGGAAGCAACACCTTTAAGCCTGCTGAGAAGTCCCTCCCTTATCTGGCAGCAACACTGCTGGCCATTAATATCAATCTATGATCTACAAGGATAGTGGCAATAACATACAATCAAGAGATGTGAGGAAATGGAATTGTCATATTTTTTACAAGAATAGAGAACTTCAACAAACAAAACTAAACACAAAACAAAAAAGCCCAAGCTAACAGCAAGAGCTATCATCATTAAAATGGAAAACACTTATGGCAAACTTTGAATGCAAACATGGAGCTAGTAATGACAAGGATGGGGCAAACAGGACATGACCCATCTGGTATCAATTAAACATGTAACACTTTAGAAACAGGCGCTGGTATAAGGAAGATATATTCTTTTAACCATATCTGAGGCTAAACTTTAATTTGAATGTGTCAGTCATTAGTGCTCTGGATCAGAGAATTTGTACCCATTACAGAAGAGGCAGACTAGCTTTGGTCTTTTCAACTGCAGTCAGATAGTTCAAAGGCAGTCAGCTGCATTTGCTACATGGTGAAACAGATTAATTTTCCAAAAAACACCAAACCAGTGTTTATTATTATTATTGATACTTTAGCACTATGGACTGGGGCTGCCTTGTGCTCAGCTTTATATACACATCTAACAAAGAAAGTCCCTTTCCCAAAGAACTTATAATTGAGTCAAGTTAAGCAAAATATTATTACTTACTGCTGCTGAACACAATGTTGTTCTATTCTAGATGGAAAGCTATAATACTTGGTTACAGCTTTCAAACTGAAAATTTGCTGCTAGCAAGGGAGCCTGATTTTTCACCTCCATCTTTGACTTGTACACTAGTAACTTTAGAGCTTTTACACCAATGTCTCTTAAGTGGATGTAACACTCTTAAAACTAACTTGCAAAATACAGGAAGCAGAAACTGTGCCATTTTCCCCACAATGCAACTCTATTACTACGTGTTTCTTTTAAGATTGCAATAAGGAACGACAAGTTTGTCAATTTTTTAAAATACAGGCAGTCCTCGACTTACAATGTTTTGAGTTACAATGTTCCACACTTAAAACATTTATAAATTGACACCCTGTTTCAACTTTACAACATTTGATCCGATGCGACGCCATGCCAGTGAATAAGTTTGCTGCCTCGCTCATCTCCCTGCAGAACATCTGTCCAAACTTCCTTGGACACTTTCTTTAAGAAAGCAGACAAGACTGCAGAAAAACCTGCAGCCAAGACTCCTGAGAAGACTCCAGCCAAGAACCCTTCAAAAAGTCCAACCAAGAGCCTTTCAAAAAGTCCAGCAAAGTCACCTCAAAGAAGTCCTTCCAAATCAATATGATTGCTATTTACAATATAAATACATTAATGTAGCCATATTACTCATCTATAATTGATTGAGTACAAATTTCTGGGGTATTTTTGGTGAAAATAGGGTATCGGGCCTTGGTTCAGGAACGAATCCCCCATTTATAACATTATGAGGAAATTGGTTCTGAGTTACAACGTTTTGACTTAAGATGCATTTTTCAGGAACAAATTGTATTGCAAGTCCGAGGACTGCCTGTATACACTAAACAGGATTTCAGTCTTACAGAATTTTAAGATACTTTGCAACTTGCAGACAAAACTTGGCCTTTAAGATTAAAGCCAAGTTTTATGAGCAATTATGGAAAAATGTTACAGAGGGAATAGCAAAGTATTTTATGGAAGTGTCTTAGAAATATATGCCGATTGCTGATAAATCAATTAAGTCAAGGGTGAAGGCAACAGCTGTGCATCATAAAAAAAATTGTACTCTTGGCTGGGAGTACTTGGGCTAAGTACTCTTACATGTAGGGAATAAAAACGGCTTTGAGGGTAAGAATGATGGCAAAAGAACTAGAATAAAACCTAAAATTGGATGGCTTGAATTTTGATGGTGCAGTAGTTAATACAAGAAGTTCCAGCAGTGTGAAGACTGAATTGACACAAGGCGCTAGTCATATTTCTGTTGTGCAAGGCATCATTCACTACACTAAACTTGCTGTTCCAGATCTCAATGATATCCCTATTTTATAAAATGGAATTTATTTTGTAAGACTTGAACCTCAAACAATAACGCCAACTTCAATCTGTGCACTATTTTGGAAGTATTTGCCAAGTGCAAAGGGGTTGCTTGACCGATCAAAATACCAAAGCCAATAATGACAAAACATATTTAGTAGTTGCCTATTTGTTATTATAATTGCAGACTAAGCAAGACTAGCCTTAGTTAAGGACAAAGTAAGGATATCAAGATAAAGCACTTTTTCAAGGTTGATTTGAGTTCCTTTTGTGACTTGAATTTTCTTACTTTTCAAGAACATTCTCTCTTCCTGTTTGAAGCTTAACCAAAACTAGAAAATGGTATGTTTGAACTCACCATAATGACAGGAAATACTAGTTCTTCTTCCAAAATTTATTCTTAAGGATGAAATTTGACTAAGTAAATGTTTGAGTCTTACTTTCAAAACTGCAGTAAACTCAGATCTGGGCATTAAAAGCTGCTATTTAAAATATAAATCCCAGTTCCCCAGATTTCAGGGTTTCAACTCCAAAACAAACAATGTTCCATGAGTTTTTATGTTTTGACTCCAGACCAGGGGTTTTTAAGAACAACCCCACCCCTGCAAAAGCAAGGGCCCATTATGGAAGCATACAAACCAACGATCTTTTTACACTACTGCTTTCCAGTAAAGGTTACCGTTAAAACTTGTACTTAAATTCATACAAATCCCAAGTAAATTACCATGAAGATGCAGGTTAATTGGGCTTTAACTAAATTTAAGGATATACAGCTCTCAGGAGAAGTATTATTAAAAAAAATAAAACTAGTCAACTGCCCGTCATGAAGGACGGAGTGTTTCAGGGAGTGTTGACATGCCACCTCCCGCCCCCCCGCCCCACCCTTGCGGCTGACCATGTAAACAGCCCCTTCGCCTCCAGCCTCTGGTGCAGGGGCTCCATCCCCCACACCCGCCTCCTCCCCTGCCTCACTGCCTGAAGTGGCGGTGGTGGCTCCCTCCCTGCCCACTACACCTCCTTGCCGGAGTTGGTGGCGGCGACGGCTCCATCCCCCCCACTTGACTCTGCCCCCACCTCCTCCCCTGCCTAAGGAGGTGGAGCCCGCGCAGCCAATCACTGCCAACCTTCTTGGTGGCACATGCGCAGTTGCCCAAAAATTTTATGGACAGACAGACTAAGCCCTATATTGGATTAGAACGGTCTTATAGCGCTGCCATGATAAAAACTTCTACACATCTGACAAAGCAAGAAATGAATAAGATACAGCCTAAGTATATTGTTTACAATATGAAAATGTCAGATTAGACACACTAGTGCAGCAGTAGTTTTATTATATGATCAAATATGTTTCTCAAATCAGATGGACATTATTCATATTATTATTCAGTTATCAGAACTTTTACATGTCTGAAATAAATTACCGTCTCTCAGTTCTGACTCTCATCCTCAGCTTACTTTAATTTTAAAGTATGGGGACATCACCAAAGACAAAAGCTAAACAGCAGACAAAATAGGAGTTAGATGCCCTAGGAAACAAAAACAAAAGCTCTGGGTGGGCAGCAGCAGCCAACACTGCCCGGCACGACAACCAGGGGGGCCGCAGCTGCTGCCACCAATGGGTGAGCCCGGAGCTGGCTTGGAGCCCAGGCTGGCAGAGGGGCCTGGTTACAAGTTGGTGCTGAGCGCAGGGAAAAGTGACCCCTCACTCGGCCCATAGCCAGCGCCCCACACTGTAGCTGCTTGCAGCCTGCATGAGCTACCAGTGCCTGCAGCAGGGAGTACCAGCCACGGGGCAGGCGAGGGGCAGCTTTTCCCTGTGCTCAACACCAGTTTCTTCCCTGCTGGTGAGCAGGGGGTCGGGGCTGTGTGCTGCCCCCTGCCTGTACTGTGGGGCTGGGGGGCACTGGGTGTGAATGGGTGCGGGAGCCAGCAGGAACACGGGGCCCACACCAGTGTCCTAGGGCCAGTGCCGGTGGGGCCCAAAGCAGGGTGGCAGGAGCGCGGGGTCCCAGCTGGCAGGGGCTCTATGGAGCTGGGCCAGCTCCCCCCTCTCCCTGCTGGTGCAGCCCAGCCTGGCTCCACAGACCCCTGCCAGCCTGTGACCCTCTCTGGGCCCCACCAGTGCTGGCCCTAGGACATTGGTCCCAAGATGGTGACCAGGGGGCAGGGCACCTGTCAAGGGGCTACCCATGCAGCCCTCAACAGCCTGCCAAAACTGGGTACGCAGTCCTCTGCCTGAAATAATTGGCCACCCCTGAGTTAAACAGACACTTGGCCGAGACAGGCAGTCAAGGATGACCATGCCCCTGAACAGGCAGCTGGACTGATGACCTCATGAGGTCCTTTCCAGATCTACTTTCCTAAGATCCTATACCACATAGCTTTGGGTATTTATAACTACCTGAATAGTTTTTCTCAGTTGAAGAAATAAATCCAAAACAGCAGATGATATTACAAACACAGCTACTTTATTTAAGAGTGCTATAAAACAGAGAACAGGAACATAGCAATGGCTATCTAAGATCAAATGAAGTGTACTTGTGCTCCAATATCCTGTCTGTGGAAATGGCTATTTCCAAATATATCTAAGGAAATTTAAAAAATGTCAT